TCCCTTATCATGTCACATGTGCCAGGCCACTGTGGATTCTTCGGCAACGAGTGTGTTGATTGTGCCGCCAAATTGGCTGCGGCTGGCAAAGCTCTAGGAAGCCTGGCCTGGCGCGAGTCGGCCGGAAGCTCGCCACGGGACTGGTGGCATGACGGTGGTAGGCTCATTGAGTGGTGTGGTGTGTCCCTGCGTGGAATGACGGGGGATCCGTCCTTGCCTCCCCTTGGAGGCTTACTGGATGAGCCGCGTGCCTGTCTAGGCCTTGCCCCTGCCGACCTGGTTGCACCCTTCCGCCCTTTGCCTTCCGAGCCAGCTTCTGACGTTGCGGCTGAGGACAGCAATGTTGGCTTCATGAGCCTTCGTTTTGCCACATATAATGTTTTGTCCCTTAGTGGCCAGGCCTTTGCTGATGGCGCTGCTGCTGGCATCGCGTACGCTGCTGGGCGCCCCGCCCTTCTGGCATCATGCTTCGATGCCTCTAAAGTGCATGCGGCTGCAATCCAGGAGGCCCGCACCGAACAGGGCTTCGTGCGGACTTCCCGATATCTACGTTTCTGCTCCGGTGCTGAGGCGGGCAGCTTGGGAGTGGAACTCTGGTTCCGTGATGGACACTCGCTCCTGCGTAACACCGTGAGTGGTGCCTGTGTTGGTGCCGTCTTTTGCAAGGAGGCCTTTCAGGTTCTGCATAAGGACAGCCGCAGGCTTGTGCTGCATTTTCATAGAGGCCCGCTCAAGCTCTGTTTTGCCTCCTTGCATGCCCCGCACAGAGGCACGGAGCGTGATCAGCTCGGTGCCTGGTGGTCTGAGACTCTTGACCTCCTTAAGCGGGCTGCTGCCAAGGCGCCTATCCTTATCGGAGGGGACTTCAATGCTTCCGTTGGATCGATCTGCTGTCCCCGCATCGGGGATCATGCACCTGAAGAACAGGACGATGCCGGAGCCTTTCTGAAAGAGCTCGTAGATGTGTGCTCGGTATGGCTCCCGTCCACATGGTCCGGATGCCATACGGGCGAATCGTGGACTTACTCACAAAAGCGTAATCAAGCCTTGACTCGGGCCGACTATATCTGCCTTCCAGATGCTTGGTGGAACGCGGCCGTCGAGTCGTGGACGGCACCTGAGGTACACGTTGGCCAGCCATACGTCGATCATGTCGCTGCTGTGGTACAAGTGCGTGCCCGCCTCCAGTGCGGACAATGTGAGCGCCCGGCCCGACTTGCTGGTATCGATGCACGAGCCATCATTGACCCGCAGCGTCGAGCCCAGATTGCACGCGTTGTTGCCGAGGCGCCTGTCGTGTCCTGGAATGTCTCCGCTGATGCACACGCTGCGGTTCTTGTTGGGTACCTGCAGCGTTCCCTTGCACAGGCCTTCCCTCGCTGTGACAGCCGACCCAAACATGTGTACATCACTGCCGCGACGTGGGGGCTACACTCTGCTGTCGCTTCCTTGCGTAAACAATGCGTCAATCTCCGTAACCGTGTGCGCAGGCACTGGCTTGCCGCTTCCTTTGCCACTTGGGCATGCGCTGATCCCAGCATACTGCAACGCGAGTCACGCTCGCCGTGGATCCGCAGAGCTACCTGCGTCGGTGAACAAAAGGGAGCCGAGCTCAGGGAGGCCTCATCTAGGCTCAAACAGGCATGTAAGAACGACCGAGCTGCCTATTTGGCTACCCTTGCTGACGAGGTACAGACTAATCAGCCTGGTTCCTTCCAAGCCCTTAACCGGCTGCTCGGCTTGCGCCAGCGCAAGCCTTACACACCAGATGTGCTGCCGGAGATCTTGGATTGTGAGGGTAAGCCTTGTGACTCGACTGCTGCTGCCACTGCCCGGTGGCGTTCACATTTCGGGGCCATGGAGGCTGGCATTGAGGGCACGCCCGAAATGCTCGTGCGCGTTGCTGCAGAAAGAGATGGACTCGTCTGGCCATCTCCAGACGCTATCACGGCCCTACCAAGCCCTAGCGATGTGTGCTGTGCTATGGCCACTCTGAAAAGCCGTAAAGCGTGTGGACCTGATGGCATCCCTGCTGAGTTTTTCAAGGCTATGCCGTCAGAGGTAGTGCAGTTGGTCTTGCCTTTAATCCTCAAGTTGGGGATCCTCGGTGAAGAGGCCGTTGGCCTTAAGGGCGCCTCGATGACGCACCTTTACAAGCATAAGGGGCCTAGGAATAAATGCGAGTCCTATCGAGCCATTATGCTGCTTCCTACCCTGACGAAAGTTATTCACAAAGCTTTTAGGCCGAGCCTGTATGAGCACGTGATTGCGAGTGCACCCCCAATTCTCCTGGGGGGCAAGCGAGGAGCCTCTGTCGTTTTTGGCAACCATGTTGTGCGCTCTTTCTGCCAGTGGTGTTCCAAGGAACGTCGTCCTGCCTGCGTTCTCTTCGCAGATGTTGCTTCGGCATATTACCAGTCGGTACGGGATTTGACAGCCCGCAGAACTGCAGCCAGCGCGGGTGCTGCGCGAACTTCTGCTCTGCCCCTGGATGAACCTGGTTGTGATGGGCTCGCCGAGCGTCTTGCCGGGGACAGCGCTTTTGCTCGAAGAAAAGCCTCGACATGGCTAGAGTCGCTTGCAGCCGAGATGCACAGGGGGTCCTGGTTTTCTCTTCGTGGAGACCATGTCCCTGTGGTTACTCGTCGTGGGTCTCGCCCGGGCTCAGCACTAGCGGATCTCATGTATAGTGCTGGCATTGAGTCCATAGTTGCGATGCGGGACTCGCTGCGGGCCGCCACTCCGTCCGCCGGTTCGGTCCCGTCTCTGCCTTGGGACTCCAGAAGGGACTTGTCCGAGCGTGCCCCGCCAAAGGTTTTCGTGCCGCTCACAGATGTGATCTGGGCTGACGACCTTGCCACTTGCCTGAACCTTTCGTCCTCGCATATGGCTCCGTTGCAGACAGCTATTGAGGCATCTGTCCTTGACGAATCTTTTGCCGCACACGGCTATACGCTTTCGTATGGCGCTGCCAAGACAGCTGCAATGGTGGCTTTGCAAGGCCAGGGGGCACGCTCTGCTAGGAGGGACCTCTTCCGTGGCAAGGGTGTGCTTAGCGTTGTTCGTGAGAACGCTGAGCCTGCGTCCCTCCCGTTGGTTGCAACATACCGGCATTTAGGGGTGCTTATCAGCGCCAACAACTCCTTCCTGCCAGAGCTGCGAGCTCGCAGCTCATCTGCGTGGTCTGCCTTCCGTCAGGGCCGCCTCAAGGCATACAGGTGTCGCCGCATAGCTGTAGCCCGAAGAGGTGCCCTCCTCTCCACGATGGTGCTTCCGCGCCTGCTCTTCGGAGCGGGGGCGTGGCCGAGCCTCCGCAAAGGGGAATGCAGCTTCTATCACCGCACAGTCTTCGCGCTGTATAGGCAGACCCTTTGTGTTCCACACGGCGAGGATCAACATATCTCCGGGGCTACTGCTTGTGCCCTCCTCCAACTGCCTGACCCGGCCACACTTCTCCGAGTGGAGCGGCTTCGGTACTTACGGCAGCTGGTCCAGTCTGCACCGGATGCTCTGTGGGCGCTGATTCGTCAAGACAATGCTTACCTCGAGGAAATGCGCTCGGCGCTGAGCTGGCTCTTTGCCAGACTGCGCGCCACTGTCGATCTTGGGGACCCTCTGGCGCACTGGGAGTCCTGGGGCGATGTTATGCGCTGTGCTCCCGGGCGTTTCCGAGGCTGGGTTAAGCGTGCTGTAGTTTTGGAATCATGCCGCTTAGTGCTTTATGCGTCCTTTCATGCCTGCAGGCGCTTTTTCCTCACTTATAGTGATGAGCCCCCTGCACCTTCTGGGGATGTGCGATATGTCGAGGCCTGTCTCCCATGCCGACTGGGTTTTGTGGATAGGGTGTCATGGGCCTGCCACGCTAGCAGGGTACATGGGTACCGCACCCGTGCCACCACGCTGACAGCCGGCACCACACAGGCTTGGTGCAGTGGTTGCGGGCGTATGTACGCCAATAATGCCAGGATGCGCAGGCATGTCTTTATGACCCCAGCCTGCCAGCGGAGGTGGGGCACTTTCTGCCCGGCAGGGCCTGTGCTAGCTGAAGGCGTCCACCCGCAAGCTCCGCCCGTACAGCCGCCAGGAGACTGCACGCCCTTTGGGGAACCCGAAATTGACTTTGCAGCAACAGGCCATCCAGCCCTGCTCGATGCCCTTCTGGCCTTGGAGGCTGCTGATGAGGATCGCGTTTGGGAGGTGGTCCAGGATTTCATTGCTCCGTTGCAGCATCTCCGGGCTACTGTTGAGGCCTGGGGCTCGCACCCGTCGGCCCAGGCTTTTGTCCCTGACCTTGTCCCGGACCTTCTGCTTTTGCTTGATCCATATGTGTGTTGCGAGCAATACCGTCGGCCCCGAGCCCACGCTCCATCCGCAGACTTCTTTGCTGCTCCGGCACCGTTGCCCGGGTTGGGCTTGCCCTTCTCTCTCACAGGCCAGTGTGCTTCCATCACACTTGACCCGCCGCCTCTGCCGAGCTACGTTTTCCCTTTCGAGGACAGCGTTCCCCTCGCTCCAGCTAAGCGGCACGTGTCCTGGGCGGTGGCTTCTGTGGACTTGCTCTTGGCAGCTGTCAAGCAAAGCATGGCAGCGCCGGTAGATGTGCGTGCTACGGCCGCCGCACTCCGGTGCCTTGAGCCGGTCACTTCGTGGATGGTCGCAGGCGGGTTCAAGCGGACTGACCGCGGACTCGCCTCCCCCGTGAGTGACTGAGCCTTTTCTGTTTCACAAAGAATTCATGCTAGAGGCGCGTCGGACATGACTCAAGCCTTGCCGAAGAAGAAGATATGTAGGTATAATCATAATTATACTTATACCCGTCCTTATACTTATACTACAATGGCTTGTCTTGGATTTGAAGCTTGTTGACCCGGTTATTGAAGAGAGTATAGGGCATATTATTAGGGTTTAGGGTGTAGGGGTTCAGGGCTTACACCCTGAGCCCTAAACCCTAAACCCTAAACCCTAAGCTCCCTAAACCGCGAACTCTTTGCAAACCAGAGGCATACGGCCGGGGCATCTACCTGGCAATGCAGGAGCAGGCAGAGCCACGATTTAGGGTTTAGGGCAAAACCGGGTCAGATTTCTGCAGAGGGTTATGTAAGGTATGCTAGAGGGGAGGTCCCTTCAGGGTTCCACGAAGGTTTGGGGTTAGGGGGTTTACGGTTCGGAGTTCAGGCTGAAACGTTACTATTACTAGGTGTGCCTCACCCTCCAAAAGTAAACCAGAAGCCAAACCTTAGCCTTCAGCCCAAACCCTGCACCTCACACCCTAAGCCCTACAACCCTAGCCCCTAAACCCTAAACCCTTTTCGGATTGTGGGCAGTTTCACAAGTTCTCCCTTATCAGAGCCCGTTAAGAGGGACCCTGGTGAGACCATTTTAAAGGAGCCCTGTTAGGAACCCTTAAGCTAGCTTTCTCGATGGTATATGTTTTTTCCATGCTCTGTGTTTTACGTTTCCATTATGTTTTAACGAACGCAACACAAGTCTTCATCTACATGTATTTGTTTCCCAGAAAAATACTGAACAGCCTAATCAAGGAAACCTTAATCGTGTCGGGTTTAGGTTTTAGGCGCTAAGCCTTATAGGATCCTTTAGTATTAGGATACCCAAGAAGCCGCATGTGCCCGTGCATGTCACCCTTGGCCGGAGACTTTCGGTGAATCCTTGGAGCTCACAGGAGTTCCGGATGCTAGTGTCCATAAGGGCTACTTTCAGTGTTTCCTTGGGGGTTGGTCTAAGGGTCGTAGGCATAGGGGCTACCAGAAATCTGATCTTGTATCGGTTCGTAGCATGTTTGCCACAATCGGCATCGCCTTCGTCATCGCCGAGCGTCAATCTACCCTAAAGCCTAACCCGCGAGCCCCTATAATAGAAGAGTTGGGAGCATAAAACCCTAAACCCCAAGCCCCTAGACTCTAAACCCCTAAACCCCTAAACCCAAAACTCCAAGCCCCTAACCCCTAAACCCTAAACCCCTAAAGCCCTAAACCCCTAAAGCCCTAAACCCTCAACCCCTAAGCCCCTAAAGCCCTAAATCCCAAGCCCCTAAACCTAAACCCT